CTCCTACTAATTGAAGGCAGAGGTATGATAGACACAAGCTGAATCAGTGCAATGTGGTCAAAAGGGCATACATTCAACATGCAACGCATTCAAAAGGTCCAAGAAAAAGTCCCACCAGTTTACTCTTGTTCTTGCAAAAAAAATAATCCTGTCTTGAAGCATTTACAAATATGAATGTCGTAGATCTGAATGGCGAGACATCAAAGTATTTCAGGAAGAGTTGAATGAGGCCTCCTGAAATGCAGCCCTATGTTTTAAAAGCAAAGGGAAGGCAGGGGTCTGAACTTGAGTGTTTGGGTGGTTTTTCGTGTTTGTTATTAAAAAAAAAAACTTCACCCAGAACTGGGGACACTAATGGTTTGTATCGTCATCACCGATCAGAGGCAGAATGACGGCAGCCGGGGGGCTGACTGGCTCCTAGAGACCAACAGAGGCATCTTTCCAGTAGAGATGCACGTACCGGTGGCATGCGGTGCAAGAAAACGTGTTGCCTCCAGACACCCACAAATGTGTCTAGTCCCAGATTCTAGCTGAGTCTCACATGATTAAGGACCATTTATTGACTGGCTTCCTGCGGTCATGTCTGGAAAAGTGTGATTGATGCAAATGTGCAGTTTAGGTGAGGTATGCCCTGATTTATGCCTCTTTTTCACTAGTTATTAATCATTGTGTCTCTTTAAAGCCTCCAAATAATCCTTTTTGATTGTAGTAATCTAGTGGTGACGACAGACCTCATCAGCTTGGGCTCCCCTGCTGCCAAACTCGGCTAAAAAAGTCGCTCATGACTTGAGCAGATGTTTCTAGTTTTTAAGCCAGTAGGAGATTAATGGGCTAATTTAGGCTTCCTTCACACCCTTTTGCGAGCGAATGCCAACTCAGTCAAATCCACACAGTGACTGACAAAGGAAGGCGAGCCGGCTCGGATGTAGAGCGGGGACCCGACTCTGGAGGGCTCTCTCTTTCGTTCTGTTTTCCCGTCTGATTTTGGACAAGTCGTTCCACTTGACTCTGCCTCCGCGCTGGGGATGATGCATGCTCACCACTACTCCCTGCACAGTCAGGAGGTTACGCAGTCAGGTGTTGGCAGCATAATTTGGGATCCTGAGATGAAAACTTTCCCATCGCTAGCAAAGGGGTAGATAGGCACGTGGAAAAAATATTAAGACGGGTGTTCAAATAAATTAAGCCCCTAATCCTGCGCTCGCATTGAATGGGCCGCTACCACAGCTGCATGCACAGATTAACTGGCAGTGCGTATTTAGGTGTGAAATTGCCCGGTCTGTGATCACAAATGCTTGACAGCAGGCTAGGAATGTATTTTGCCCAGGTAATTGCACAACTGACAGGCTTGAGGGAAAGCCTGCCCTGGAGGTTTGGGAGGTTTGGGGGCTCGGTCCTTTGCTTTTGGCCTTGAGCACTTTATTTAATCTCATCATGCACCAGCTCCTTGTCTGTAAAACAGGGATAATAGCATTTGTTTTGGGCCGGAATAAATACACCAGAGATCAGGAGGGGCTTGGAGCCTGCAGTAGCAGAGTCTGTATTCATCTCAAATAGATGAAAGGTCAGGCCCTAAAAGGTAGCATTAAAAAGACACCTGCTCTAGCGAGAATTAAAGGTGAATGGAAGGTCATGTAGTTAAAGCAGAGAGCCAGCCTCCTTTCCCTGCTCTGTTGCAGACTTCCTAGGTAACTTAGGCCTTTGTCCCCATTTTAGAGAATGGAAACTAGACTTCCAGACCTCTCCATGGTGATGGGAACCTAAATGAGGACAGTGTATATGAAGGGCTTTGAAATCCTTGAATGGAAGGCACCATAGCTGCTACTTAAGACTAGACACTCACATACTGCATGCGATGGTGACTGCCTCTAATGGCTGTTCCCGGTGGATATGCAGCCCTTTACTTTCCCTGAGTTAAAGGAGTCCTCCTTTAGTTCAAGGTATATAGGTCTGTGCTTTTGGTTAAGGATCAGGGGTTTGATCGCTGCTGAGGTTCTGCGGGCTGTGTGTAGGCACGATAGCAGTAAGCTGCACCGACTGTACCTATGCTCCTGTGAATTGTGAACCTACAAAGGGCTTTCTATATTGTTTTTAATCTTGTACATTTGCAGTACTTTAAATAGGAAAAAAAAAAGACAGCCTCATTCAAATCCTACCCATATGGCTACAGTTTGTAATAAAACAGTCATCCTGGTTATTGACAGTTTGCAGCAGTTCTGCCAAGTCACTGGGCTTGATTTAAAGTGCCCCATCTGGAATTATTAGTTAAGGGCAGTTTATCAGAGTAATGATTTATTGTGTAAACAGATCCTGCTGCTGGCATTTAGAAAAACTTATCTCCCTGCCATTCAGCGAGAGTTCTTTAATCACACTTGATTGAAGGTTTCCAGCCTTGAACTATTGGTTAATGGCATCTGAGCCAAGGGATGATTTATTGGTTGAGTAAACTTTGAAATGGGAGTGCAGCGCCTGAGATACTGAACGTTCAGCGTGCCTCTGATGGAGCACTTTCCTTTTATCACAAAGAAAGCATACGGCAGAAGTAGGATTTGAGTTAACCTTCTGCTTCTTCATTCTCGGATGTCAGCATGAGACCTCGTGAAGTCATCCTTCTTCTCCGAGCTCAGCTGTCATGTTATAAGCGTATTTGTGCATGCACAAGTGCATGTGTCCACACAGGTCCATGCTCTGCACCCGATTGTATATCGTTGCACAATACGTGTTTTTAATGTGGAAATTCGATTCTTTCTATTCTTTGTCATAAGCAGCAGAAGGTTTATCAAGGATGCCTGAAAGAGCCCATGAACATCCTAATCAGTCTGCTGAACAAATGGGCAATCTTCAAAAAACAGCTTAACACGCTCATCTTGCTGGGGTCTTCTGGTGCCAGCAGCCTTTCCTGCTCAAGTGCAGGGAGGCTGGGCCCAATGATCTGTAAAGTCCCTTCCAGCCCCTAACAGCTATGAAACATGGAGGTACAGGTGTTTGGAGAAAGTGGACAGCCCTGCCTACGGCTGCTGGCCAGTTGTCAGCAGTGAACAAACTAGAGCTTTCTTCACCAGGGTGTAACACGAGCCACCAGGTGGCAACCGGCGTGCAACAGCTTGATACTGGGAGTGCACCGTAACCTTCAGAGGTTTGATATAACTTGGCAGGGCAATATGGTAAGGCTTTCAAGTCATTTTAAGAGCTTTCAATAAGAATAATTGCACTGACAGCAGAGGTGCATTGCCTCTCCGAGTCATAGATTTCAAAGCCAGAGGGCATGATAGTGACCAGCTGCGCTGCCCTCCCGTCTAACACCGGCCTGCAGAATTCCACCCACCCGTTCCTGCATCCGGTCCAGAGAGCATCTCTAAGAGACATCCGCTCACAATTAAAAGACTCCAAGTGATAGGGAATTCACTATGCTCCTCAATGAGCTTCCTGGTGGATAATTGCTTGTGCTGTTCAAAACCATATGTTATTTCCAGTTTGAACTTTGCTGACTTCAAGTTCCAGCCAGTGGATCTTGTTTTGCCTTTGATTAAAGAGCTCTGTATAAGCACACATGACCTCTTAACCTTTTTTTTCTTTTTAAAAAGACAGAGAGATGGAGCGCTTTTAGTTTCTCGCTCTCAGGTGGGTTTTCTGGACACCAAATGGTTTCCCTTGCACCGGAGGTGCAGATGGCTAGTCAGGGAATGTGCAGAGGCCTGGGATTTATGGGGTTAACATGCTGCAGCAATTCAAAGCTAGGATTTTTAGTTCTGCCTGAAGATCTGAAAAAGAAAGTAGTCCTATTGAGCCATGATCTTTGGACCCCTAAGACTAGATGATAAGATAGAAAAGCTTAAATTGAGACTATAAATGTAGTGGGGAGGGGAAAAAAAATCTGAGTCTTCATGTTCATGGGACCCTTGAAGTGAAGGAGCCGGTTGTTGTTTCTGTAACCATTTCACATCGTGATATGCCAAGTGTGGCAGAAATTCATTCTCCTCCAGACTATGCTGGGATATCCAAACCATATCTCACAGCATAGGGATGATCCTACCTCTGGCAGGGGGTTGGACTAAATGACCTCTGAAGGGCCCTTTCAGCCATACGTTTCTCTGGCCCCCTCTACACATCACAGGTATCAAGCAATTAACCAGTTAATTGCATAATTCCCTTGAGACCAGCTACATGTGCAAAGCAGCCATAAAGAGCTCCAACCAGCTATAAAAAGTTAGACCTCGAAAACGTGTGCTAAATGTCGTGCTGGTTGGTACAGAGCTTTAATTTGCATGTGTAGTAGGGTTGCCCCTGCGGCTGGGAGCCCTGTTAACTGACTGCGCTCCCAGCTCCCGGGTGCACCATGTCCAGCCAGGGTGGGAGTCCTACAATTGAGGGGACTCAGCCCCAGCAGCTGCCACTCTGGGTCCCAGCAGCACCCCACACAATCCCGCAGCTGCAGACATTGGGTTCCTGCACTGTGCCTCTCCGAGCTGGAGCCATAGCTGCCATGATCTCCCAGCCCCAGGGGCTGTATGCATCCCCATGGCTGGGAGGCTGCAGCAGCTGTATCTCTCAGCCCCAAGGGTGCATTGGGCATCCCCGTAGCTTAGAGCCCCTCAGCTTTTAATTCCAGGCGCTTGCTTCTTGCCAGTGCAGGGGGAGCCCAGGATTAGGCTTCCTCTGCACTGGCAATAAGGCACAATGGAATCTAATGCACTACCTGCCTGCATGTGTACAGAGGCCCTAGGAGTCTGTAATCTGGAGAGCCATCCTGCCCCCTGCTATGTTAGCTCCTAACAACAACTAACGGGCATCGGAAAAACAGTTTTGTAAATGGAAGATGCCAGCCCCTGACAAATGGAGGCAAGATGTTTATCACTTATTGGTTCAATATAATCTGGAGTGTGACCCTTTTGTTGAGAGCTTAGCCCTCAAGCAGGTATGCAGGACCAAGTCTTACCTAAAGAAGTTTTAATATAAGGACATAGGACAATGTGAACAGAGACACCAGGGCTTGATGTGCACAAGCAGGTGAGAATTGCAGAGAGGGCTCTTGAGAGACAAGGCCCTGCTATTCAGGCAGGTGCAACTCACAGGCTGAAACATCTGTTTATTTTAAACATATAAAAAAGCACAAGCCAGATTTCCCCAAAGCAAAACAGAAATGCCAGTTAAATGACAGTTAATAAAAATCAGTAAAAAAACATCTTATACATGCAGTGAAGTACCTGTCTTGGACAGTGTCAGGCCCCCAGCCCAGCAAGACACTGCAAATCCCGTAGGAGTCCCGTAGGAGGCACTTTGCCCTTATACCTGAAACCAGGCTACGTTCTGCATTAACAAGTAATTAAACTGGACCTCACCCCAACTCTGTGGGTTTGGGGGAGGAATCCAGACAGCAGTTAGAGACTTCAGACGGTAGGAGCAGCTGCAGAAGCCGAGGCCAGGACCTGTACCCACTGGCTCCCTGTCCATCCTCACAATTTCTGCACTTCAGCTCCACCCCAGGCTTGTAAAACTTCCTCTCCCTGCCTTACCCCATGCTTTCCAGGTTCCCCTTGCCCATCACTGTCCTTTCCATTCAGCTAATCCTCTCCAAAAATTCTGGAACAAATGTGACATTTGCTGCCATCGTGTTTGCTCTGCTTGTGTTCCCTGCTCCTTCACACGCCCCGCACCTGTTTCACCTTTTCACGCTGCAGCTCATTGGGACACAACTTGAGTTGTGCAGCACCTGGCACAAAGGAGCCCCATTTGTGGATGGCCCTTAGCAACTGCCACACTGAACAGGATTAATCATTAACAAAACCATGGGTCACGCACCCAGGGTGTGTAGACCCCAGCTACAGACTAGAGCTCATTGCCTCCTGATCCTAAAACTCAAGAGTATCCCTTCCCCAGAATCAAAGATAATCTTGCTGCCTGCACTAACTGTTGGTGCCTCCTCTGTGACCTCCCAAAAAGAGAGCGCATTAATATGGACTTGCAAAAGTCTCCTGCAGGCTGGCCAGTATACTACAGACTAACAGTGCAGCATTTAGTGAATAGAATAAGACAGGCAAGTTCTGTGCCATAATCTTTAAGAGAGAAGCTCTCCCTCTTTCCCCCCACCCCCAGTCCTGCACCAGCTGCTGCATGGATCACGACGTTCATTTTGCCAGGAGGAAGCCTGTGTCCGCCCCGCCAGGGTGCCCAGCACTCCCCTGCAGCAACAGTTGAAGAATGATTAGCATTCCCCGATATGCAGCCCTGTGGGCACTTCCATCTGTTTCCTTTGCTCTACCAAAGCAGACTCCCACTATGTAGTATCTAAGTGGTGGCTGGTCCTTTCGTTCCCTGCAGCCAAACAGACCAGACTGCCAGGCCAAAGCTCACATTTGCACATTCAATTAGACAGAAGTGAGCTCTGACCCACACAAGCAACAAAATGTGAGCCACCACCACAGGGCGGGGAGAAGTCAAGTCAGCTGCAGAAAGAACGGTGGATGCATTTGGGCATGACCGAGAACTCAACCTACGCTGCCTCCCAAAATCAAACTTTGCCTTTACTAGAATTTGGGGCTTGCTGACTGCCCTAAATCCCCAGCAAGTCTACTATAAGCATGGAGTCACCCCACTTCGGCCAGCTGGAGCAAGGCTGATGCCCAGATGAAGGTGTACGTAGGCATCTCCATGTTGTCAGCTCAGTCCATTCAGCACCTGCTGCTCTCCCAGGGAGTACTTGGCACTTTGGTGGCACACCGGCTGTAAGACCACTGTGAGAAGCTGCTTGTGGCTCAGTGGTGGCAGCTGAGGTTGGTCACCAGGTCTAACCAGAGACAGCTGCATGCATACACAGCCTTTGTCAGATTAGTTTAAGAGGATTCAAAAAGAAACACAACCACTGGAAAACGTCAGCGGGAAATGCGGAGTCCTTGATCAGACAGAGACCTGTTACCAAAGGAGGCCAGGGATGTGCTACGTGATGTCAAAGACATTGCACTTCAGTCTCTTCAGCTAAAACAACTGGATTAACTCTAGTTACACTAAAAAAGCCTTCCTCTGGCACCAAAGGGCCCAGTACACCTGGCAGAGAAGGGAAGGGAGATGAAAAACTACTCTTTGAAGTCTCTACCATCTGCCTGTCAGTTCTTCAAGGTACAAACCCAGCAAAGGTTTAAACAAAATGAAAACAAAACAATAAAACCCAAACCACTGTCTCACTGCACTTGTGGGATATTGCTTAGCTGTGCACAGAGCTTTGTGCCGGGACCTTCCCTGAAGCAGAGAGCCTGCCAGGTTCAGCAGATGTTTGTGCTCAGCATGAGTCTCTTCAGATCCAAGCTAGTCTGACAGAGGCCCTGCAGCTCCATCACTGCTACAATTGAAATCTCTTCTGGCAAATTTCTTCCAGAGCTGTAAACTTGGGTCCCAGAGTATTCAAGAAATCCACTGGCAACTCATCATCAGTCACAGGGATGGACATGCAGGAACTACATCTGTCTAGCTCTCCCTCTTCGACATATACATGAGGTTGGTACACGATTACATCATCCTCCAGGTTACTGATGTGAAAGAGCTTCTGCAAAGGAGAAAGAAAACATTCAGGCAATGAACCACCATGGAGGCTTCCCAAACTATTATGTCCTTTTGGAAGTTAAAGGGATTCTTAACAAGCAGCATGTCATCAAGGATGATACCCAGGATAATGCTGCAGAAATACGGGTACTCTCTCCCTCAGTGGTCTGAGCATTTGCTTTATTGTCAAACAGTGACAGAAACATCAGATCCACCCAAGCCTGCCCTGGAATTAGGAGCTGCAAAGTCAATTTGATCTTCCCCCACAAAGATAATGGACCTGGCCAGGAAGAAGAAATGCCAGTGCATATGCAGCAGCTCTACAGAATGGCACAGCGAAGTGGTAAGAAGAGGCTTTGAATACAAAATACAAGTTCAGAGCCAGCACAGACTGGAGCACAAGGCTGCCTGGCTTCCTAGAGCAGGCAGCACCCTGGCACCCACAGCTGGCCCATGCAGAAAGAGGTGTGTGCATCTGAGACATGCCAGCAGCCAGGTGACCTGCATGACCCAGCAAGAAGTGCTGTGATGAGACCTCTTTGGCAGGGGCTCACAGGCAGTGGTGGATGGCCACCTCTTCTCACTCCCATCCTCCTCTATGTTGCTCTCATCAAGTGGCTCAGATCGCTGTCACTGAAAACATCCTGCCTGCTCTACCTGCCTGTATATATCTCATCTCTTCCCCTGCACTTCTTATTTTGGAGGTGGGGTATGCAAGGGCTGTGTCCTTTCCTCCCTGGGCTTTCCTTCGATGCCAGTACCATTTTCTCGGAGGGTGTTATTGTCCCGAGAGGAGCTGCAGCAGAACTGCTGAATTCCCAAGGCGACTCCTGTGCTCAACAGCCATGAGCCATTTGTCAAGGGAAGGCTTCCAAAGCAGCGTTCCTTACCTCATTCAGCATTTCACCAGCTATCTCTGTAATCCTGTTGAGGAGCCTCCCAAAACTGGCATCCGATCTGGAATAAGGGATTCCCTAAAAAACAGGCATGGCCACAGAGCCTCAGCAAGGCGAATGTCTTCAGGGAAGGCTTTACATTTGTCATTCAGGTTATAAAGAAACTAATCTGCACTTACTGTACCTTTACACCCACTTCCCGGGGGGCCTGTTCATGTCTACTTAAAATGCAAGCTTGTCTAGGTAGAGACTGTCCCTTACTCTAAGTTTCTATGCTTAGCACAATGCAGCCCCCAGCCTTGGTTAGTCCTTAGGGTTATGGCAACAACCGGCTTCCCAATAACGATTCACAGTATTCTTTCTAGTGAAGTACTCCAAATATAGGTTGCCATGCTACAACCATGTAAACTGTCCTTACTTCAAGGACTAGCGAGTTAAGCAAATATGATGGAATGGGGTTCCTCCCAACACAAAATTAAAATGATATTATGCTTTATATTATTTCTAACTTTCTCTCAGATTGTTCTTGGGGCCTACCAGTGAATGTAATGCAATTATAGGCATTATATTTACATGAGGATTATGATTGTCACTTAAGTGTAACCTGAGAAACAGAAAAAGTTAGCCAAAAGGGGCCTCAAGAGGTCTAGTCTAACCCTCCGCCCAAGGCAGAAGCATCTCTGATTAAACCATCCCGATCATGTTTATCTAACTTTACATTAGTCTGTTGGCATGCTTTTAAACAAACATGAAACGATGGCACGACTGAAGTAGGGATTATTGGTTAATACTAAAGGAAAAAAAAACCCAGCACCACCAAAATCAATTGCTCAACCTGAAACATTCCTCAGAACCCTAAACTAGCTTGTAAAAATTTACTTACAGATGAACCCAGGTCATAATGTCCTTGACTCAGTTTGAGGGAGGGTGGTAATAACATTGTGTTTCCAACCTAAAATGGGGAAAAATTCAAATTTCATAATTATCTGTTCAGAAATTTTAGTTAAAAATCTGGAAAAAAAATGATTCTGAAGAGTACTCATTAGACTGTGTCAGCCTCAGAAGGTAATGGCTTGAGAAAAACAGTAATGTTTCTGGTTAGTGACAGTATGGTTATGTTCAGATTGGATTATATTAAGTTCTTTTGTTCTACGCCATGCTGCAAGCCAGCCACAACTACAGTTTTACAAAAAGAGACAGTTGCCTTTGCAAGAATTAGTGATTACCTGATCAATTTGTTTTCCTCCTTTAATTTCTGTATGCAGTATGAGTTGCATAGCATGATCTACAGCATCTGGACTAGCCTACACAGGGGTGAGATACATTAATTAGATGTACTGAGTATAGTGAATAAACAGGCTGGTACAACATTGCAAATAAAAACATAAAAGCCACTAAGATTTCTACTCCATACCTAACCATCCTGCCTTACTAATGCACACCATTAAGATAAGATGTCCAGGAAATGCCTGGAAATCCACTGGAAAGGTAGGAAAAGCATCCTGTCTGCTACCATAACCTGCACCATAAAATGCGTCATTCTTCCACCATGTTCAGCTAAGAAAGGGGACAATGTTCTGCTCAATAACAAATGAAAGGAAATAGAAGCAATACAATTAAATAGCACATCTCTAGTAGATTTGATGTCTATTGGACCTGGTAAATGCATACTGCATACCTTACCTGAGTCCAAGAGCTTCCACTTTCTGCATTGTAGTTCATCAAAGTCTGAATGCCTTCTTCAAATGGTGGGTAGACCTTTCTTTCCTTGTTTCTTGATGCACAAGTACACCAAAGTAGAACACAGGTAACCACTGAAAATAGGAGAGGAGGTCACCAGAGTTGCCATTGATACTCTAAGATACTGAGTCAGTAGTCTATCTAGTTCAATACCCCATTTCTAACAGTGGCCAGCCCCTGAAGTCTCAGAAAAATGGGCAACAGGCAATGGGCACTTGCCTGCAAATCCTAGGCAATTACTTACACAGTAACAACAGGAGAGTTGCCAAAATTGCAGCAATGGCACTACTTCCAAAGCCCACTTTCATGGGTTCAGCAATCTGCTCTGAACACGTATGCCCATCTAGGCAAAGGCAGACTCTTATATTCAGGATCTCTGTCTCAGAAAATCCTTGTCTGTCCAGAATATTGAGAGGCACTAAATAATCACCAGGTGAGAGGCTTCGCAACATTAAAAGCTCAACTGAGTCACCTGGAAAAAGAAACACAAAAATGTCTCTATTAAAAGCAACAAACAGCCTGAAAACACAGTGCTGAGGCAGATGGGTTTTCTTCCACTTGGAGTCCTTCTAAGTTACATATGCAAAGTGGGAAAACTTATCTGAAGCACCAAAAAGCAGAATGCCCAAGGACAGGTCAAGGGTGGACAATTATTTCAGCTGAAGGGCTGCTTAATGAGGTTTGGTGGGCTGTCAAGGGCCGCAAGGGTCCCCCACCCCTTGACAAGAGCCCGACCCCCTGATTGCCAACTCGGGGCTGGAAGTCCCTCCCCCTAGCCCCCTGACCTTTGCCATTGGAAGTCTCCCCCCTTACCCCCAGAAGTGCTTCTTCTGAGAAGGGGGTTTGCCATCTTGGAATCAGAAAAAGATATATATGCTAAAAATGTAACATTCTCAATAACATATTTTAATTTTATTTTTAAAAAATATTTTTGTCCTGATTTGTGTGTGTTTGCATTGTGTATATAGAAGTGATTGAATAATATCTCAAAATGCAGTCTTACTCTATTATATTGCAGGGGTGTGGAGAGATGGGAGGGTAAGGGGTTTGTGGGGGATGTGGGGAGGTGTGAGTGGCTGTGGGTGTGTGGGTATGGGATTTTTATAGAGATGTGTGGGGTGTGTGTGGGTGGATATGAGTTGGGGATGGTGGGGGGTATGTGTGGGTGTGGCAGGGTGTGGGGAGGAGGAGGGTGACTGGGGGTGTTTGTCTGGGTGCACGCGTGTGGTGGGGGGGGTGTAGCAGTGAGTGGGGCTCCCCCAGAGGTGTGCAAGTGTGTCAGGTTTGTGGAGGGGTGTGAGGGAGGGTGTGGGTGGGTGCAGTGTTTGGTGGGTGTATGATTGTGTGTAGCGGAGGGTGTGGGATTTGTGAGGTTTGTGGGGAAGGGTTTGAGGGTATGGTGTGGTGTACATGGGAGTCCCCCGCATGTGCCCCCCTGAGCTGGTCAGCTTTTCCCTTGTGCTGACCAAGTTTCTGCCCAGCACCACTGCTGCTGCCACTGCTGAGCCTGGACAGGCGAGTCCGGAGCAGGCACAGGGTGTGCAGGGTCGGGGCTGTGCACACAGGTACTGCGGGGCTGGAGCCAGTGGCAGCAGCAGGTGGAAGGAGCCACCACTGCCTGGGCTGCCTAGAAAGGCAGTCCAGCCATGGAGCCACCCCAGGCTCGCTACATGCCCAGGGGGCAGCAGGACGCGCCATGGCTAGGTGGCGCCTGGGCCAGGTGGGACCAAAGGACCCGCCATGGGCTGGACAAAGCCCCTCTATGGGCTGGTTCCAGCCTGTAGGCTGACTTTGCCCACCCCTGGGATAAGTGCACAGGTGTGTGTTGATTTGATATATAGCTACCAAGACTGCAGGTGCAAACTGGATAACCATGTGGACAAATGTGTTTAGTATGTGCTAACCTCTGGCTACTACAGCCAAAAAACAGCAGCACTTTCCAGCATGTTCAATGCTTCTATGTACTGTCTATATATATGCTATGTATTTCCACAATGTACATGTTGATAATCAGAAGAAAAGTTCAAAAGAAAAGTTTCCACCCCATCAGAATTTTTGGAGGCCTCAAAACACAAGCTTGAATGATACCAAAGTGTAGAATTTAACCCATTACATGATAACATACTGTAAGCTTTAAAGATGACTGCCATTGTGAAACAGAGGATGACAACATAAGCAAGGATTTCACAACGTTTGGAAAAAAAACTTACCAAAACGCCTTCCTAATTTCCAGTTATGCTTAACAGTGTCAGAGTTATCTGCCAGCTCAAATATGAAAGGACCGGAGTATGGATCCAAGTCATTATCCTCAGCTTTTATGATGAGGGGTATAATTCCTTCTTGGTCACAAACTTCCAAGAATGGGGCAACTAATTTTGGCATGTTATCATTAATATCAGACAGGTAAAGCAGAATGGTGCCGGTGCCAGTTTGAGGTGGAACACCTAGTCAGGAAGAAAGAGCGTGACTAAAAGAGTGCCAAGAACCAAGAGTCTGGTGTGGTTCCTCTTCCCAAATTGCGTTATTATTCAGTTAGTAAGGTGTAAAGATATTAGGATTTTCTGCACTATGATTCTTCAGTTTACGAGCAGTACTTTGTATTTCTGTCCCATCTAGCATCTCAAATGTACTTTCTGAACAATAAAAATGAATGACCCCACGATCTGCTCATACCGTCCTCACACTACCCTGGCTCCAGCATCCCCGCTTCCCAAAACAGCGGGGGTAGAGGGAGCTCTTCTCCTTGTTCATTTTCACCCTGATAGTAGGAGCTATTTTACACTTTTCATCCCCTTAGGTCACAACTTAAAGCACTTGCTCAGGAATGGTGGCATTTTTCTCTGGTTTGTGCAGGAACTTACCATCATCAACAGCATGAACAATAATGGAGTACAGACTGTTGTTCACATATGGGGATTCCCGATCAAGCTCTTTTACAGCAGTAACAAGTCCAGTGTTCTCATCGACGTTCACCCACCCGGCTGGGTCATGAACTACTCTGTATCTAAGAAAGACAAAGAGGTTCCAAAGCCCCATAATTAAAATCTCTTTGGGGGTCAAATATCATTATGAAAGACACCAAATGATGCAACAGTGGGGGTTCCCAATTTTTTGTTAGTGCTGATTTTTGGTGAAAAATGGAGAAGTCAGTAGGGACTACTTTTTTGTTTACCAGTCAAAAGGCTGCCATACAGGGTCTTCATAAAGTCCTTGTGCACTTTCAAACTTTAATAACTGAGGTTGTAGGTATGATAGAAACAATCTGTCAATGGCATTTAAAAGCAAATGTATTAGAGTTTGAGGACAACTAGAGTACACAATCCTGGATTTCAACAAAACCACCATCCATCATGATACAGTGCTCAATCCTATCTTCCAACTCCTTGAAAATGTTTCCCAATTGCTTTTAAGTTGCTGCACTAATTACATTGGTGATCCTAGCCCTAAGTTCCACCAAATAATGTGGTTTTGACAAGTCAACTACACTTTTTAACATGCACCCATAAAAATAAGTCCAACGGTGACAGGTCAGGTGAATGAGGCGGCCAAGCAATTGGTCCACCTCTGCCTAGCTACTTCTCTGGGAAAAAGTCATTTAGGAACTGTCGTACATTCAGAGCGTAGTGGCACAGCGCTCCATCTTACTTAAGACTAAATTTGTTATTACTTATGAAGTCTAGCATTGTGTACTCTAGTTGTCCTAAAACTTTAATAAATTTGCTTTTAAATGCCGTTTACAGATTGTTTCTATCATACCTACAACCTAAGTTAGTAAAGTTTAAAAGTGCACAAGGACATTCTGAAGACCCTGTATAGGCAGTATTCCACCTGCTAATAATATGGCTTATCCCTCATCCCTCACCTGGAAGAACAACTGCTAGGGCAAGAAGGTAATTTAACTTCCATACCAGTTCAATCAGAAGAGAGTCATCAAAAGGTGCCATAATTTTGTTTATGAGCTCAATTCTGTGCCCATACTGTGGGCTAAATAATGTCCTTAGCATTTTTAGCAAAACTCCCTTTGGAAAACAAGAGACACTTTATTCAAGCAAGGATGGCAAAATCAGGCCCTTTGCTGCAGAAGTAGGACCACCCATTTTTTGCTCAAGTCTAAAAGCATTCAGTTAATCTGAAGCTCCAGCATCCTTACAACAGCAGCACTAGGAGGTTTTCTTGCTGATGATGAAAAAGCTCACTGTGCTTCTTAATGCCTTCCCCAGCCGAGATGTACAGTGTCTCCACTCACTTCATCTTATTTGGCACCACGTCTGAATCCACTGCAGTGTATTTTCCAAGTTTCGTCCCGGGCTTCACGCCTTCGTCTTTTCGAAGAATAAGTTTGGGAGGGTCAAATTGAGGAGCATCATTTCTATCTACTACGCTGACACTCACAGATGCAGTGATGGGCGTGACAGGATGGCTCCACTTCTTGCTTGCATTGCATGTAAAAAAAGGCTGCTCATTTACAGCAGAAATGACAAGTCTCCTCTGTATAGCACCTTCATAGTCCAAAGGCTGCAAACCCCAAACAGAAACTTCCATTAGTGATCATGACTTTTTTTCTCTCTCTGTAAACAAGAGAAGATGTTTCCACATTGCAGCAGCTCAAATTATTGATGTAGCTATAGCATCCCAGGTTTAGTCAATACTCTTACCTTAATAACACTTAAAATCCCTTCATTTGTTTCAGGATCAGTCTCAATCATGAACTCTTCCTTTTCATTGCCTTGCACTATGTTGTACTTTGCCCTCCATGCAGGTGTATAAGGAGAATCTAGATCTTTCACCTGGAGCCTCAGCACACCTGGCTGTTCTTTGCCTTCTGGAATTTGCAGCTCATACTGAAAGAAAAAAATGGATTGTTTCAGCACTGTCTAATCAGGAAGCATTGCATTCATCTAGCCAGGCAGGCCAGGTTCTGCATCACGGTTGCAATGCCAGGTCCTTCTGATCTGCTTCATACAGAAGCCTTGGGCATCTGCAATGGTTCTAGCAGCTCCCGGTCCCACTCTTTGCCAGACCCTCTTCATCAATAAAAAGGAGGTGCTGTGAATACCCAAGGCTAGGTGATCTCTGTTCAATCAGATTTCAATTAAAGGACTCAGAGAGACTGGTAGAATCTTTTTCAGTCTTAACTTATGTAAGATAACTGCCATCATTTGGGCTCCTGAGTCTCATTTCCTCCTCACCCCAACCCCTCCACCTCCATTCGGCCTCAATCTTTAAACACTAAGTAAAGGATAACACTGGTACCTGGTAGACTAGAGAAATCACCACTGCTACTAGGGGCATAGCTGTTAGATTTCATAGATTTCATAGACATTAGGGCTGGAAGGGACCTCGGAAGATCATCGAGTCCAGCCCCCTGCCCAAAGGGCAGGAAGTCAGCTGGGGTCATAGGATCCCAGCAAGATAAGCATCCAGTTTGCTTTTGAGGGTGTTCAATGTAGGTGTTTGAACCACCTCCGGTGGCAGGCTGTTCCAGACCTTGGGGGCTTGGACAGTAAAGAAATTCTTCCTTATGTCCAGCCTGAAACGGTCTTGTAGTAGTTTATGACCATTCGACCTAGTCGTCATCCCTTGGGGCGCTCTGGTGACCAAACGTTCCCCCAGATACTGGTGGTCACCCCTGATAAACTTGTAGGTGGCCATCAGATCACCCCTGAGCCTGCGCTTTTCCAGGCTAAAGAGCCCCAGGGCTCTCAGCCTGTCATCGTAGGGTCTGCTTCCCTGACCTCTGATCATGCGCGTGGCTCTTCTCTGGACTCTCTCAAGCTTCTCCACATCCTTTTTGAGTTGTGGAGCCCAAAACTGGACACAGTACTCCAGCTGCGGCCTCACTAAGGCCGAGTACAGGGGGAGAATGACGTCCCGGGATTTGCTTGAGAAGCATCTATGGATGCAAGCCAGCGTTTTGGTCGCTTTACTAGCCGCCGCATCGCATTGCAGGCTCATGTTCATCTTGTGGTCAATGATGACCCCCAAGTCTCTTTCTTCCACAGTGCTAGTCAACATAGCACTGCCGAGCCTATAAGGATGCTGCGGGTTTTTCTTCCCAAGGTGGAGAACCTTGCATTTATTGGCGTTGAACACCATCAGATTCTCATCCGCCCACTTGCTGAGCCTGTCCAGGTCAGCCTGGATCACCCGCCTGTCTTCTGGTGTGGATGCTTCGCCCCAAAGTTTGGGTAGTTCCTGGGGGAGTAGGACCACTTGGGTGGTTTGCCCCAAAGTTAGTGTGGGCTTCATCCCCCCAAAGCCCAAACCTTGCCTTTAAACCTGCTAGGCCAAATGCATATAACCTTGTCCTACCAACCTCTAGCAAACTCTCGGACCACAGCTGAATACCCCTTCGGGTTTGAAACTTAAGCCAGAGGTTTGTTTTGTGCAATGTGTGACAAATACTGCCAAGAAGAAACATTTTCTTATAGTCTGTGGTTTCAGTCCTTTTTGCCAAAACTAACAATGAAGTCTCCCACCTTTCTACGCTTGAACTTGCAAGTTACAAAACCAGTTTTAATCTTTTGTTACACGGATGGAAAATATTTGTTGGGCTACAACCTTCAAATCCTGTGCCTGTTCACAAGCTGATTTGTCAGCTCTTGTCCCACTAATAAATAAATAGAAAAGGCTGTGATGAAGGATAGCATGCTCCCTAGAGATCGAGAGAGAGGTGGGTGGTTACAACTGCATTCACTTCAGGTCAAAGCCAGGACTCCTTTCTCCAACAGAGAATCTTTGTTTCCCTGAGAAGTCAGGAAGGCTGCATCCCGAGGAGAGGTCTGGTTCTCCTTGGTTCTTGGAGCTCCTCTGCCTCTCGGCACGAGGTCCGGCAAAGGTAGGATTCAACAAACAGTTAAGAGCTCAGGCTCTAAGGTGCGTTGTAAAACTCTAGTAACATTCAGCCTGTGCTCCAAAAAGTTATAATAAGCAGCCTAATTCAACCAATACATTGGAGTAGAAGGAAAAAGTGGTAGGAATGGCCTGATCCTGACTATGAAACCAAACCACACAAGTGGTCCTACTCCCCCAGGAACTACCCCAGGCTTTTTAGCACTTTCATGTAGAAATGGCACTAATCAACACCTTTTAGAAGCCAGTTTCAGTTCCTAGGAGCCACTAAATTTACAGCTGACAACGCCCAGGCACTGCTGTTGTGGCCTTCAAAAGGGTTTTTTCCCTTCCTGACTCAGTGCTCTTTAATCCAGACCCCACATTCAAACACGTTTGGGCCTGATTTAATAAGACGCCAAGAGCTTCTAATTTCACCAGTGCGTGCCCTCAACACTTTGCACAACTGAATGTGCTCCTTTGCAGGAGACTCAGTAAAGTAGCTCTACTTTCTTCTCACTTTTTCCTTAAGAAACACAGGCAGGTAGTTGTTTTCTGAATCTTCAACAGCAACGTTAACTATTGCTGTGGACGACATCCGTGGGCTTCCATGGTCTCTGGCTTCAATCAGGAGTTGGAAAGAGCTGGCAGCCTGGAAAAACAAAACAGTTCAGGTTCAGAAACAATGACTTCATTTTTCTGATCATTGCTACAATGCTGATCCTTTCAACCAGTCATACCTCTGAGAGCCCCACTGCCCCACAGACTAAAGATGCCCATGGCAAGTAAGCACCCACACAATAAATAAAAGAATGCAATATGTACTTTACCGCATAATTTAGGCATCCTGAAATATGTATCAGCCCACTGGTAGGATCAATAGTAAATCTGGGCTCATCTGAGAGCGGCGTTTGCTTAGTGAGGTAATAGGCCACTCTAGAGTTATCAGTGCGTTGTTCATCTTTGTCAAAGGCTGTCATTTGGAGTACTGGCTCATCTAAGATGAAAAATCAAGGCATTTATTACAAGTGCTCAGTACTGATGTGGGCTACTCAGGCCTAGCAATGGCCCTTATCATGTTCCACCACTTCCCTGCCTCACCATCCGCTTGTCTGACAGAGACGTCCTCTCAATCCCTCCACAATGTGCCTCTTCAAGTGAGCTGACATTTGCCTCTGCAGCTCCTGCCTCTTCTCCCCCCATGCTAATTACCTCTATAATCATGCTTAACTACCTCTCCGGGGAGACCGGCCTGTATCTAATACTGTACCAAATAAGGATATGCTAGAGGCTGTAAAACAGAGGGACAGTGGAAAAAACCCTGCTCACACCCTGTTCACTCTCCCTTTTGGTATCCACTCTCTGTCACAGGATACTGGGTGCACCTATGGTCTGATCCACTAAATGGCAGTTCTTATGTAGTCACTGGATTTCAGTGTTTCTGGAAATAAATGGTTCATCAGTTTTTAATCCAGGCGTGCTGTCCATCAGCCTTGAAGAAACTAACCCCACCACCGGGTGCTCCCATCACTGCTACCGCTGAGCACATCTCTCTACATTTCTGTTTGTTCATCATCTGTAAAGATACAAAGGCCTGGTTCTATAATGTAAGGTGCTGTATACACCTTACAGCTCCCAGCTCATAGCTCTGAAGTTTGCCCCTTAAAAAGCTGGTTAAAGGGCCTACGCGGAGCCCTGGAGAATGAAAGACAATCATGCTGTACTGAGGACTGTAAAAGGAATGGGATATGGATTACATCTATGGAGGTCTTATTCTCACTATAAATAGTCTTGAGGACTATTTATTCTCACTGAAGTCAATAGGTGTTTTTCCAGTGCCACTGCACATATTTTCTTATAGTCTTATAGTCTTGAGGAGCATATGACCCACAACTATTTCCAACCTGAATCAACCCTGCCTACTTCCCATCTCATAGGTTCTCTCTTTATTCTCTTTATGACCTCTCCATTTTTTGTACTGTCATTGACTTCTGAACCTTGTGACAGGTAAAAGACCTAAGAGCTTTGAAGAGCTACCGTCCCTGTCCGGTCTCCTTTTAGAGTCAATGTAAGCAAAAACTTTAGGGTTAAAGTGCATTTGCACCAAGATGTTTAAGGGAAGCATTCATTATAAAGCTCGTCTAAACTTGAAAGAGACTCTACTTTAAGACTCATTCTTGGCAACACCATTCAGAGTCAGATTAAAGGCAACTCCACCAAAAATACGTCATTCCCTCTTTTCTTGCATTTTTCATATAAGTATGAATTTCAGACTGATTATCTCTTTGGTTAATGTAACAACACTGAAGTCACAAGGGGTGACTGAGGGAGAGATTTACAATATCCCTGCACATCCTGGCAGGTTTTGGATGAGATTGAAGTCATATTACTTATAGTAGCAAGCAATATACCTAGGAGCAACTGTTTACAGAAACAGCACCCTCAAGACTAACCGGGAATATATATTACGGTATATGACTTCTGACTCAAACAGGAATGGGATGTTGTTCATTGAGTCCCTGAACCAATCTATGTTTGCCTACAATCCAGGGAGAAGAAAAGCAATTTAAAATATAGCCAGGAATAAGCCAATGATGTCCCTTATACATCTACTTACCTGCACTGTGATTTTCTTTTATCATAACATTATATTCTGCCATAGGAAACTCAGGTGCATTATCATTAATATCTTTAATCTTAATTCTGAAGAATAAAGATGTGTCTATTTTTTCACCAGTCTTCTTGTTTGTAACATCAAAACGTATCTAAAATGCACACCGATGAAGACAGCAAGTTAAATTTCAGAAGCAGGCAGGACACATTTTGCTGTGTCCTGTTTCAATTATAACCTGATAATGCCTTTGTTTTGCTTCACCAACAAATAATAAAGTTACTCCACTTGGCTAAGTAAGCATGGTTCGGTTATCCTTTGAACTGAGAATAAAAAGTGAATGCTTCATACATTTTGTAAAAACTGAAAATGCAGCTGTGTGCACTTCAGAAAAGCCACAGACAAGGGAATACAGCTCTTTCATGGGCTAGATTTTTTACCCTAGTTTCTAATCATATGGACTCAGTTTTGATCATGCAACAATTTTGTTCATACCTACCCAAAGCAAGCAAAGAGTTTTTAAGAACTTTAACAGCAAATACAGTTTAAAGAGCTCTTATGCTGGCTCTTAATACATATTTAAAATGAGAGAGATGGGAATAAGGAACAAGCAATAAAAAGTGGGAAAATATCAGTAATCATGACTTGCATGATGCACTGAATTTGCTCTAGCTAAATTTGTGGCCCTTGTAGGTTTCCTTTCCATGAACACTTGAGTGATTAAGTTTTGAACTCCCATTTGCAGACATTCGTGGACTGAAACAAATAGCTTGAACTTCTGTCCTGACGTGTTCACATGTTCATCTCATCAGGAAAAAGATTTAATCTGGTTAACCCAGACGGCAGAATTCTGTCCAGAAAGCACCATGAAATACTGAACATCCAGAAGGGAAACTGCTACGAGGCAGCTGCAATCTACAGAAGACACCTGCGAGCAGATACATAATCCAAACTGTTTGTTCAGTTTGCCCAATAATAAAGTGCTCCCTCTTAGGCTGTGTCCAGATGTGCGTGGACATTTGGTTTCCTGGAGACAACTACCGGGTGCTCACCTTGCACCGCTGCTAGTTGTCCCCGAGGAATGCCTGTGCCACGTGCGCACTGGCACATGGCAAATTACCTTGGGTGGGGTAGGGGAGACTGGGACCAGCACTGGGTTGGCCCCAGCAGCCTTACCTGGGGACCTGTGGGCCTCCCAGAGCTGCAGCCACAGTGCTCCTGCCACGTGAAGCCTGGCTGGCAGCCGAGGGTGGCTCTGGCCAGCCTTCAGGCAGCGCATACTGCCGCTGCATGCATCACTCCGCTTTTTTTTCTCCCCGGTTTTTTTTTTTTTTGACCCCTGGATATCCAAGGGTCAAAAAAACCCCTCCATGCTGCTGCCTTGCAATGCAGAGAGCAATGGAACGTGCAGAATGTGGCACCGCACGGCCGCGCTCATCTGGACGGGGCCTTATAGGGCAGCCTTTTGACTACCCTAACGCAAGCTCATCATAAGTCTTCAACTCCTTCGATAATCATCATGGACACTTCATATATGCCACAGCAGAAGCTTGCCTCCAGTATCAAAGCAACAGCACTGTAGTACTGACAGTATTCAGAGTTTTGTTTTTACAATGCAGTTTTTTGGCTTCTATGCCTGTAAACTATCTTGATATTTTGAACAAGTCTACTATGAACCAGATCACACCTTTAGGGTGTGATCTGGTTCATAGTACAGTCATTGTAACTACAGAAAGAGTAAAAAAAAAAGCTAAGCTTTGACACTGATTGATGTTTAAATAATCCAGTCATCTGTATAGGCACCATTGGCTATACAAATATTATAGCAACTCAAAGGTAGAAACAAATATAGACTTGAAATTATTATTGCAATTTTTCTTTCATGTGAAATATTTAGCACTAGGAGAACAATTCAGAGGTTCCATGCGTTTGTTCTATCAAACTATACTTACCAAAAAAGAGGAGTTTCTCTCTCTATCAATGCTGCGATGTACATATATGTGCCCATCGGCATCATTTTTTATACTGAACAACCCAATGTCTGGGTACAAATCTACTCCAGGTCCACTGATTAGATATGCTGCGAAATGGTGGATTGTATTGTTATTGAACAGCTACAAAAGAAACAGAATAGTAGTGAAAATTTGGTCACATTAGAAGGATGAAGTTTCAACACCAAATTCAAAGGTTTTAAAGAGATACCATCAAAATGTTAAGATAATGTATTGATTTGATGCACTCTGTAATCATGGTTGTGTGCCTCCCATTTGGAGAATGAATGAATGATGTATGGGTTAATTTTTAGGTATTTTGCCTGGAATAGAAAAATCTTAACAGTAGTGATCAAGGCCTTGATATTAAGACCGTGATACCAATTGATAGAAAGACAATTCAGTTGGGCTCTAATGAAGGCCTACTACAGAAATGGTTCAAAAGAGCAGTCGTAACAAACTGATATGTTAAAGAACAACAGGTCACCAGCTCAGGATGATACACACGCACGTCCTGAACCAGCTTAACAAAAAAATATCTGAGCTGCTATCAACCATCTATTGCATCTCATTAGAATCAGTGGCTAGACTAATACACCTGTCTTTAAAAGAGGCACCGGGAGCAACAATTACTGAGCCGCAAACATCACATCAGTACCCATGAAATTGGTTGAAACCACAATTAAAAACAGAATTGAAAAACCACAATTAAAAACAAATGCCTAAATGAATCCACTAGGGAAGACTAGGCCTGTTCCTGTTAGAAACCTCTCCCCTTGAATTCTTTGAATGTGTCCAGAGATAGCAAGTAAAAGGGAAGTAACAGTTGATTTGGACTTTGCTCAAAGTCTCTCGCACAAGGCTATTAAAAAAGTAAGTAGCCCTGGGTCAGATGTGAAGTCCCGTTACAGATGAGAAACAAAAGATTCTTGTTAAGTAGGAGAAGGCATATACAAATACAGGCTTAATTCCCTGTGGATTTTCTTCCCTATATAAACCTCAATGCCTTAGGAATTAATGGTTAGGAAGACACTTTTTCCTGGGCAAATATGTGATTGCTACAAATCCCACACCACACAGGACGGGATTAAGGAGCAACTATGGCTTCAAACAGCCCTGCCCTACCACACCTGTAAGGAAGCATGTCAGACCTATGGCAAAGGCCCTAAATGGAGGGCAGGGGAGGGCAGGTATCTGCTCCTTGGCTCCTGGGGAGGTGGGCAGAAGTGCTTCGCTGGCCGTTAGGCCCACCTGTGCTTCCCTTTGAGGGACAGGAGGACCTAATGGAAAACTAGAAACCTGCTGGCAGCACTGAGTTGTGCCATGGCCTGTCGGAAGCTCTGAGAAAAAAAAAGAGTCATGCCACGCTCTTGTAATCTTTGTTTCTTCTTGATCTTTGACTGCCCTGGGAGACGTGGGCTCCCACAGACCTATCCAGAGGGCTGTGACTTCTATATGCAGACTTTTGCTTAAGACTGGAGCCTAGGTGATTGTGGGGCTCTGGCAGAGCCCAAAGGGTTGCTTTGGGGGATAGCTGGACACAAGTTCATTACAGAATTGTGCATTGCAGGGTTTCTTAACCTTCCCCAAAAGCAACTGGGGTGGGAAACTGTCAGGGATGAAATATTGGACTGCTTATTGGAGCTATCCTGATCTAGCCTGTATTTCTGTCTGATACGATGTGAAAAGAAGACACTCTGAATCTTTAAAAAGAGCATGTTCCACAGTAAGCAAATATAGTGGTGCTAATTCTCTGCCACTTCAGCCACTGATTTTGTAAGGACCTCCTCATATGACAGAGAAAAGTGGGCAAAATTCTCATTTAAAATGTGTGTTTTATGATGGTGTTGTGTGTTTGGTGTCTGCTTTTGGTTTCATGGGGTTTTCTGGTTTGTTTTTAATTACCTCTCCAACAAGTTTGGGAAATGGTCCTTTGTCCTCCTCCTGAAGCTCCATAGTGGTGATAACCCATGCCCTCTTTGTGCGCCGGAGAGGACGTAGACTGTCTGATCGATAAAGCTCTGATGCCTGTTAGGTAGAACAGTACATTAGTGACACAAAACTCACATACTCTAGTTTCTTACTGCAGAATACTTCTCTTGACACAGGATTTAATCAGAAAAGCAAAATTTAGATATAACCAAATGTGAAATTGTAATAAACCTAGTGTTGAGTTAAAGTTATCAATAGACCTAAGATTAGAATTGATCATTTCCTGACTCCCCACTCCCCCTCTCCATTCCTATTACCCCAGCCTAATATTCAGTACAACAGACAAAATGAGGGAAGTGATTTATCAGCTTACTATGCAATACCCCCACTAGTGAGACCTGGCCTTTTCCCAAATATACAAATTAACAGACACAGGCATAATAATGTTGGTAATGATAATAATACCATATAATTTAATAGCAAATTCTGAAGAAAGTAGATTATATCATAATTTATAATGTTATTATAAAGCTAAGTATTAAATTAAAATCTAAATATATTATAAATGGCGATCAACACTATTTTTCCTTGATACATCCAGAGTCATGTTGCAAGATGAACAAAACAATTTACCACCATCAGAATGCAGGGTTCCTACAGAGAACTGCATTACATGATCCTGAGCAGAAATGTATTTAGCGTAGTTTTATTTCTTTTCACTCAACTTCAGACTGCCGCATTGCATTTAGCTTCTTAAAAGATGGCGCTGAAACATTTTCACTTCACTGTGACTGGTGCCTTTGCTTAGTCTATGTTACTAACAGACAGTAACTCTAAATCACATGATCTATCCCTACAGTGATTATCGCTTTGTCTTTGTACTGCAGTAAGCATTGGGACATTTGAACACAGAATATTATATGAAAAATATGCTGGGGCGGGTTAGGTTGATTTTGCAGGAAACTGCAGACAGTGCAACAATGCAATAAACAACAATGCAATGCAAAGCAATAAGCAGCTTTTTGCAGTTTCCACAGAAATTGTGAATTAAGTAGACCGCTAGTGATAAAGGCTTTTGATACATGCATTATAACTAATTCTGCCTCATCCTTCTCACTTCCTGGTGACTGGTGACTTGTAAGTAAACCAAGCTGAAGTTTACCTATCTTTCCAATCCTGACTTCAGAGATCTCATTTACGAAATAACTTGAATTACAAACCTCATTGGTAAGTTCTCGGGTGACATCCTCCTTCTCATAAGGCAAGCTGCTGGCACAAGTAACCTTATAAAACAAAATGGTGACAATTAGGAGAATAGTGATTACAAAATGTTAATGAGACGTGAGCTTGCCCAACAGAAGGCATGTGCCCTTATCACCTGAAAACAAGTTCAAAGAACAACTGGCTCAAGTACTTACCAGATATATATGAGTATAAAACTGGTTGATAAAATATGCTTTTCTCTGTACAGAAGTTAGAAGTGTTAATGTCAGCTTATTGTAGTCTTTCTGCATTATTACTACCCCATGCCCAATTCCATACTTAGCTTTTACTTAGCTAACGTTCCCAGCCCAAACCACCATTAGAAAATGCAAAGATCCTGATACACAAGGCCAATCTTGTGCAACTCAGAGATCAACTGTTTCTCTACTTTCTATCTCTAAGTTAATTAAGTTGCTTTTACTGTTGTTCCTGAAAGAAATCAGTGGCCACATCCAGAAGTGTGCAGCCATGCGGCATATGGTGCCATAGACATGTCTGTGGTGCCACATACTGCACATTCAACTGTTCTCTGCACTGCAAGGTAGTAACGCGGGGGGGTGGTTGTTGACCCTGGGATATCCACAGGTCAAAAACCCCATGCATAAACAAGCAGAGCAGCACAAGCAGTGGCAGCACAAGATGTCCCACTGCTAACTGACTCCGGGGAGCCAAACGTCCATGCTCATGTGGACACGGCCACTGGGTGCATCTAAGTGTGCAATTAGCATGCAGAAATAAACTTTGGCGCAGTTAGCTCTGGAGTTTATTTCTCCCAGGCACAGCATTTACATGTGCACCTGAGACTGTAGCATATTGAGCCAGGGTGGAGCAGGCCCAGGCTGGCAAAGGGCCAGGAGGGTCAGCCTGCCAGCCTAGGGCCACTTTGATCCATGAGGAAGAACTGACTGGGGAACGAGGGTGCTACCGTATGGGGGCTAGCTGGCAGGCAACCCCCACACTGTAGCCCCATCATGCCCCAGCCAGTCCCAGTCACCATCTACACATGCACGTGCATTTCGGTGCACTAATGACTGTGCTGTAGGATAATACTTCTCCTGGACAGTACCATCCTACAGAGGAATTAATTAATTTACTGTGCCCTAATATGCGTGCACGTGTAAACGGTGACACTTTAGTGTGGAGCTAATTAGTCAGCTCTGCAGTAAAGCACATGTGTAGATGCACCCACTGGGTGTGTCTATATGTTCATTAATGCTTAGTAGTTACTGCACATTCAGTTTAGTACTTGTTAATCAAGTACCAAATAAATGTGTAGAAACTAGAGTTACTGCGCACTAGCACCGGCGAATGCCTTTTTAGTGATGCTACTGTGCAATAGCCTAATAATACTGCCCAGTAGTGTATTAGCACTGTCCATGCTACAACACACTACTGCACAGTGTTATGAGGCTACTGCACATTAAGTATCTCATGTAGACGCACCCACTGAGTAGGATAGTTTTCCGAAGCACTCAAGTTGGCCTACCATTGCCAACTGAGGTTGGTATAATGGGGGACAGAAAGAGTCCGGTGCTATTCAGCTTAACATCCCTCAACTTCACTTGGTCTGAGGTTGACTCCTTGAAAGAGGAAAGGAATCTGAAAGGTTGCAATGAGAGAGAGTACCTAAATCCTTTAGGCTCCTCTAGAAACTGAAAATCTACAATACAAAATATTGCCAGCGTAGCATAAAAGATTTCTGTTGGGCATCCAGTGGGGTTATATCTTCAGCAAATAAGAAGCAAATATCTTCTTTCCAGGCACTAGTTGTAACCACAAAACTGGAATCTAATTTGGTGCCTACAAAGTGACCTGCAAGAGTAGCTTCACTCCTTGTGCCATCAATTTAACACTGTGCTTCAGTTGTAGATAAAGCGTTGTGATTACACCTTGTGCCAACACAAGAGATTATCCTTTCAAAAGTTTTCTTGCCATACTAAGTTAAATAAGGAAGGATACCGTTTTCTATTGACATAGGGTAGGTATGTTTCTAGAAAGCGGCTGTGAGGAGTGCCGGGAGCAAGGAGTACTGCTCTCCTGGATCTCATCTGGTGTCAGCTTCTCTCTGTTTTCCTGTATTGTTATTGCTCTGCATTTGTTTTGCAGATTGTTATTACCTTAACGTTTTCCCAACTGAAGCCCCTACAAGTACAAGGATGTGCAAAGCTACTCCTGTATAACTAAATGGTCAGCGATCTCCGGTTCCCCCTTTTACATCCAGGGGCTCGCAAACGCAGGTAAGAATCTAGCTTTTGGAACATGCCGGCTTGCTCCAAAAAACACATACTCTCAAAGCACGTAGAAAGGACCAGCCTGAATGGTTCTTTCTATAAGTTATTTGGTTCAAAAAGGACGTTTTTGCGAATGGAAATGTATTTGCATTACAATGGATTTTTCAGGCATTCTTTAATGATGCTTTAATGATGGCTGGAATCAGTCAAGCTATAGTGATTTATGTGCACTGAGCATCTGGTCCGGGACTCCAGAGAGGTAAAATGTTTCTCTCCATTTCCCCTGCTCCCGTGCCCCACCTCTGCCCCCGCTCCCCCGCTCTCCTGAAAGGTGCTTTAAGGAAAAAAACTGAACAGTGCTGAAACTGAGAGCTGAACAAATTGCAGAGCTCTGATCAATAATAGGGTACAAGGTAGGAACTTACTTCAGTGGCATTTACTGTGCCATTACCAGACTGGCTGTTAAGGAGAGCTCCCGCCGTGAACAGAAACCTGGAAGTACTTTTCATAGCATAACAGGAAACATTTTCTAACAGTACACTGTGAAACCTATTATATCAGCCAATTCTGACAATGTGGCTGGCATGGAGATAGTAAGGAGCTATGTTTGATCAGAGCCTAAAAAAAAAAAAAAGGCTGAGAAGCCAAATACTTGATCTTAGATGTTCAACAAAACGAGAATCTTAGAGAAATATTGCTGTCATAAGGAAGAGCTAAACCTTAGAGTCATATTTGGCAGAGAAGGAAATACGGAAATTAAAAATAAGTAAATTATTCTTTTGCAAAGTGAGAGGAAATGTATTACAATTCAGTGGTGGCTGAAAGGCTTGTAGTCTTCCTAGACACAACTAGATCTGACTAAGCTCACCTTGCATTAGAAGTTGACTTCAGGTCATACGCATCTCTCAGGTTTGGGAGTAAGTAAAGAAAGGAGAAATGATTTAGTTGCTACATATTAGGGGAATTTCCATGCTGAACAAGAATCAATGTGCGCTACAAGAATATTACAATAAATAGAGGAAATGAAAGGGAGGATAACAGAGTTAAAAAAAAGGAGACTGTATTTGAAGAATCCAGACTTTAGACTTCATAAATTCTATTTTGAGCCCAGAGGAAGAGTTTCTATATGATCAGTTTAGCAGATCCTCAGCATGCACTTGACTTTCCTGTGCCTCTGTATTAGCCCAGCTATCTCTTATTTTTATTAGTTATAAGGGGCATAGGTTGTAGCTGTGTTGGACTAAGGACATAGGCACACAAGGTTCTTTGGGTGACTCTGATATCTTGTACTAAACCAACTTAAATGGCTGGGGGGTGAAATTTTTAGCAAGCTTTTAGGTTTAAAACCCCTTGGTCAGGCTGAGGAAGTCTCTGCAGTTGGTGTGTTCTCTTCCAGCTATTTAAGTTGGTCTAAAAAAGATATCAGATTGACCCAAAGAACCTTATCTGCCTTTCATCTGTTATTGCATTTGACTTGGGACTATGACCTTCCAGGGCAAGATTGTCCGTTCAAGGATATGTCTACCGTTGGTGTTTACAAATGTTTTCTCTTTCTTTCTCAAGCTTCTTTTTTTTCCCTTAAGGAGTCTTTGCCATTTTATACAACTGCCTTTCCAAAAATGTCCCCCAGAGAAAAATTGAAGCAAAGCTAAATGAGGATTACTTGGCTGGATAAATTCTGCCAGGATCAGGGCCATTCAAATACTTTTTTAAAGACCTAGCTCTTATTCCCCCGCCAGAAGAACACTTTGTGCTATGCTTGAGCCTAAAATAGCTAGAGGAATTGCACTACCTTTATAAATATTTTACTATCATTTGAGACATTAAGGGAAAGATCCATTTGAGGAAGTGTGATTTAAGAAAAGCTCATTTCATCTTGTATGTTATAACTTTTTAGCATTAGCCAGTTTTCAAGGCAACTGCAGAGCTGATTTGTGTATGCAGCCACCACAATATACATATAAATTTGGCAGCTGCACGTCCATGTGACTAGAACCGTCATTTGGCCATGATAGTGCTAACAAAGTTTGTAATTTTACACGTATTTAGCGTAAGCCACTTAAATGTGTATAGCTGGGCAGATGTTGAAGTCTGACTAAAGTGCACATTAAGTGCACGAATGCATATATAAAGCCGGTGCATGTTTACCTTGACTTTTGGGTACAGAAAGATTGATTACACATAGAAATTAGTGTCTGAATAGACATTATTTTCATGAGTTTTGCCATGGCAATTGCAGGACAATCCTCTTGCACTCCTACATAGTCCTGGCAATCATTCATGCAAGCAGTGGGATCAGTACTGTCCTAACTATTGTGTGTAGCAAGACTATTCATATTGTTTTGAGGATAAGCACTCACAGGGCACAGGGCACAGGGCACAGACAGAAATTACGTTTGTCATGTAATCAGCCCCCTGAAAGTACTCTACAGCCACGCCGTGACACATGTGCACAGCTGCAGAGCGCTTTTAAAGTGGCCGATCCTACAACAAATTAACCCTCATCAAAGGAGGGATCAGATGAAGGCGCTCCACTTTGGAGTGCCGTAGGGAATTTGTGCTCCCTAGGGTTAATCTAGTGCAGGATTGGGCCTGTCTGCAGGAAGGCAGGGTGGATAGGGGAGGGGGAGCAAGCTGCTGGCTAGGGTTTGCCTGGCCTGAGCTGGAGGGGGCGTGGATTGGAGCCCCCCCAACCTTGCAGCCCCCATCAGCCCCACCCCCCTCCTGCTCAGGCCAAAAAAACCTGCTCAGGCCAAGCTTATTCTTTTGACTCAGAAGGAACATGCAGTTGTCAGTTTAATCTCATCAACCCACAATTGCAACCATTCCCTGGAGAACCCGAGTTCTAGCGACTAACAAGACGGAAATAAAAAATCCTAGCTCATATAAGCCCATATGAATTTTAGTGGTCTTTTTTAATTCTTCAAAACAAAGTGGCATCAAATACAGGTCAGGAATGAAGGGCAAGACTCCTGGTTGGTATAAACTGGCATCGCTCAAATGACTTCGGTAAAGCTCTTAGTAGTGGCTTAGGATCTGTTCCAGATTGCAATCTATCGATTGCCATCTTAAAATTTTTCTTAAGTTACAGAGCAAACACTCAGTTAAGAAAATAGGTTAAAAATGTAGCCACTCACAGGGTGGTAAGTAGAGCTGGGAGAATGGCATGAAAATTACACTGAAACAGTGGTACTTATTTAAATCGGGTTGGATTTGGCACCTGTTCGGAGGGAGGCAGATCAAGACTTGAATGGTACCTTCAGCTTCAGAGAGAGTCCTGTCTATCTGACACAAGTCTGCAGTTTGTACTGAAGATACAGCTCCTATCATCCTCCATTTTACTGGAGTCTGGATTGGAGACACTGACCCACTATTTTCTTCACTTGCTAAGCCAGCTACACTCTGGGGAGGGCAATCAGGCCAATATGATAAACTCTGCCAGAGACTGAAGTTGTCTTTTAGACTTCTTAGCTCCCCTTTCAAGGGGCTTAACATTTTGCCATAGCACATAGCTTACGGTGGCACAGTAGGCCAAAATGGCACATGCTTGGGATAACAGGAGAGACTGTATTTTGGGCAAAGCTTCAGGGACAGTAAGGTAGATATATTCTTAACTTGAGGCCAGTCCAACAGAACGGAGCCCCTTACTTCAAGAGACTGAGTGACTTGTTTATCAAGATCAATTCATTTTGGAGGTTCCCTGGAGGAGGGTCTGGATAATGCCAAACCTTTGATCTGCTGATAAGAATTACTTGCTGATAAGCAAAAAATGCAGGGTTCAATCCCCCTCTGAGCGAAGGGAGCTTAAAACCTGGATCTGCTGCTCCCTGAACAAGTACTTCGGTGTTTAAGGCATTGAACTAAAACACAGAAGGACCCACTGCGTCCTTCGGTTTTACTAGCAAGTGCCCGTACAGGTGAGCAGGGTGCATCTAGTTCACTGCATGGAGGTTCGTGGAGTCCGAATTGGTGCGGGAGTGCCAAAAACAGGAGTTAGGCAGCTGTACAACTAGCACTTCAGCTGTACAGCGCGACAGGAGTCTGTCCCAGGCATCTGCCGTGCAGGACAAGCGTACCAGCAAATCCTTAAATGCAGCTCCTACTTGATACAGCTTCTACTCTGACAGGTCATAATGGAAGGAATAACACACCCCCCAACCTGCCTATTTAACAGTCAAGTTTATGGCCTCTCCCTGCACCTGTCTAGAAGCTGGATCCTGGAGAAAGACTTTGAGTGAAGCAAATGCACAAACCCCAGTGAGGATGGACCACAACTTTAATACCTAGACCACAGATGCAAAGACCACTGCCTATCATATTGATCAACATAGCTTAACTGGTTTCCTTGCACTCACATGTCGGTCTGTCTATATTCCCTTCTCCCCATCATTTTATATTTGGACTACAGGATCTCTGTGGCATCCTTTTGTTCTGCTGTTCATGCAGCACCAGGCACAATGGAGCCCTAGCCCATGACTGAGACTCCTTTACACCACGGTAGTAATTTTGTGATGCTCATTCACCTTACAAGGCAGGAAGGGACTCTGGCTATAAAGGATATAGCCCCTTCCAAGAGGGTGAAGCAAGCCTGATGCCTCTGCGCAGCCGGGAGCACCAAAGCACAGAAAGGAGACTAGTGACAGGGAGTGGGGATTAATGACAGGGAGGGGAGACTAATGACGGGGAGCGGGGACTAGTGACGGGGAGAGGAGACTAGTGACAGGGAGCAGGGACTAGTGATAGGGAGCAGGGGCTAGTGACAGAGAGAGGAGACTAGTGATGGGGAGAGGAGACTAGTGATGGGGAGAGAAAACTAGTGACAGAGAGAAGGGACTAGTGCCAGGGAGCAGGTACTAGTGATGGGGAGCGGGGACTAGTGACGGGGAGAAGGGACTAGTGATGGGGAGAGGAGACTAGTGACGGGGAGCGGGGATTAGTGACGGGGAGAGGAGACTAGTGACGGGGAGCGGGGATTAGTGATGGGGAGAAGGGACTAGTGAGCCGGGGGAGTCTGAAGTCAAGTAGACCAAAGGAAATTGGCACCCCAAGCCCCCTCTACAAGTATCATGCAATTAACTGGTTGATGGGACAAGGGCAATCATATGAAAGCGCAGGTCGTGGGGTCCTGGCTGCCAGGATCCCAGGCTCAGAAACGAGGCCCCGGGACCCAGGTGCCACCAGGTCCCGGCGGCGTTGGCCCCTGCCTCTTCCCAGTGCAAGGGGAGCAGGGGATCGGGCTCCCCATCCACGGGCAAGAAGGCATCTCGCGTGCAACCCTCCCATCGCAACGCGCCCACGCCCGTGCACTTGCCCTTGCACGCCCCGGGGACGCGGGGACGAGCCCGCACCTACCGCCGGCGGCAGCAGAACCAGC